GAGTTTCCTAGGTAGGCCTTGAAATTATCAGATAGCCATTTGTTTCTCATACCAAATTTATCCCAAAATCACTTTTATTTTTTCCTGGCTTTATTTGAGCAGGGGTTCAAAAATCAATTTTTTTTTTTTATATCGAAACAGCCGCGCAGGCAGAAGCCTAAATGCCGGAACACCGCGGCTGCTATGATGAGCCCAAAGAAATTTTGTTAATACGATTTTTGAACTGCCTAAGGTTAGTAGAACTGGGAAAAGCTTCCTCCCGTAGATTGTTCCACAATCTAGACACCCTCGGGACAAAGGAGCGGTCGTATCGGCCAGTTCTGGATGTACAAAGTTTGACACGGCTAGGATGGGACGCCGAAGTCAGGCGGGTCTGTCTGGCAGGCACATAGCGCGGCGGCATCATGGAAGAGAGCTCTGAGGAGCAAAGCCCGTTGGTGTAGCGATAGAAAAGAGCTAGATCGCCGACGGCCCGCCGGTGCGAAAGAGTCCCGAGACTGTCTGTTAGAGAAGAGTCATCGATCAGTCGGACCACCCTCCTCTGGACAGCATCGAGCATGGACAATGTAGTCGGGGCGGCAGCACCCCAAACGTGTGAGCAATACTCGAGGCTAGGCCTTATCTGGGCCTTGTATAGAGTGAGAAGGTCATGCGGAGAAAAGTACTTCTTAGCCCTAAACAAATAGCCTAGCTTTTTCCCAGCAGCTGCAGCTATTGAAGAGATGTGTTCGTGCCAGATCAGGTCCTCGGTGATCTGGACTCCGACCAGCCGAAATGAATGGCTCTTTGGTAGAACTCGACCGTCCATCGAAACTGTATGAGCGCTAGGACGCTTTTTGTTCGTCAAAGTACAGTACTGTGTTTTGGAAGCATTGAACTGTACAAGATTGTTGTGTCCCCAAGCAGTGATAGCCTCCAGGTCTCTTGTCAGAGAAGAAGTCGTCGCTAGTCTTCTTTTTTCCAGCTCAGCGACAGAGATCGGCTTGTCGCTCTGAATTCCTGCATGTAGAGTGCTGTCATCAGCGAAGCTGTGGATTGGGTTGATCGTGCAGGAAAGGAGGTCGTTGATATGTAAGAGAAACAGTGTTGGAGCCAAGACCGATCCCTGGGGAACACCCGCGTTGACGTTGTGGGATGAAGAGGAGAATCCGTCAATTACGACGGATATCTTGCGGCCAGAGATAAAGTCAGCCACCCATCTGCAAAGCTTTTCTGGGAGGCCGTAGGATGGCAGTTTGCTCAAGAGGGCAGCGTGCCACAGCTGATCGAACGCTTTCGTGATGTCAAGAGCAACGACATGAGCCTCACCATGAGACTGGATGAGTTTACTCCACAGTTGCGTGATGTAAGCTAGGATGTCCCCTGTGGATCGTTGGTGCCGGAAACCGTACTGCCTGTCGCTAATCAAGCTGTGACGTTCGAGGTAGTCCAGAAGCTCGCGATTTATGCACCTCTCCATCACTTTACTCATAACAGAAAGCAGAGCTATAGGCCTGTAGTTGTAAGGGTCGGTTTTAGATCCTTTTTTTGGGATGGGCTGTACATGAGCAAATTTCCAGTTTTCTGGGAAGGTGCCGGATTCATAAGATATCTGGAAGAGACGCGAAAGAACTGGAGCAAGCTCAGCTGCACATCTCTTCAGTACAATGGCAGGAATCAAGTCCGGACCAGAAGCTTTGTTGATGTCGAGCGACAAGAGCACTCGTCTTACGGTCTTATGCCTGAATGTTACCTCCCGCATAGTGTGGGGAACCCTTTGAATTGACGGCACTTGGGCGTTGGTGGGTACGTCCATGGTGGAGTTGACAGCAAAGATCTTGGCTAGCACTTCCGCCTTGGCCTTTGAGTCGAATACAATAGATCCATCCTGACACGTAAGTGGTGGAAGGCTACTGTGTGAGAAGTTCTTTTCAATCTGCTTGGCCAGCGTCCAGAAGGACCGACTGCCATTGCGCTGCGACATTACCCTGTGCCTAATTCTTATATCATGCTGGGTTTTGGCATTGCGAACCGCTTCGTTATATTTGTTTCTGGACTCGACGTCGGCTTGTCTGTTCTCTACAGTGGGGTTTTGTAAGTAGGTTCTGTGGGCCTTGATCTTCTGCTGGCGAGCAGTGTCACACGATTTGTTGAACCAGCCGTTGGACCCTGGTTTAGGAACTTTCACTGTGTGAGGGATGTATTCCTCCATTCCGACGTGGATAATTTCGGTTATTGAAGAACAGTCGACGCATCCGCGTCAGTGAAACAGACACCAGCTGGGTCAGCCCTTGAGTAAGAGCGAACGCTTCGACTGCACGACCTGCTGCATCGGTCTTATTTGAGCCCAACCAAAGCTCATTATGGGCATTGAAATCACCGAGAAGAACTACCTCTGAAGCGGGGTGATTGATGTTCAGGAAGTCGATCTGGACGGCGAGGTATTCGAGTAGGTCATCCCAGTTATGGTTCGAGGGAGAACGATAAAGGCAGCAAATAAATTTGGGTGATGTTTTGGAGTTGAGGCGAAGCCACAGAATGTCCTTCCGGTCTGATTCCAAAGAAAGATCCCTGGAGCAGGAAAGACTGCTGCGGACAAAAGCCACAACTCCCCCGTTCTTTCTCAGATTGGAGTGCACCTCGTAGTTTGGGAAGGTGAGATGGTTAATCGGTGCAGTCTCTGAGATTTTTGTCTCCGCCAAGAAAAGAAAAGGCAGCAAATACAATGAGTTTAATATATTAAGCTTGATAATATTGTGTATTTTCATTTGCTACTTGCAGCGTCCATCTATCTGTCGTAATAAAGAAGTTACGACTTTTTAATCGATGTCAAGTTGCATACAATACAATCAAGAAAAATTGCATGTTAGCATTGCCACTTTTTCTCCTCTGCAAGATGGCATGATTAGAATTCCAATATCACGTTTCGACTCTTGTCCTCCAGCAGATGAATAGAGTTTTTAACTCTCGTTTCAAAAATGTATAATGTCATACATTAACATTGCCAAACCTTAATTATTCATACATCAAATTGAACATTGCAACACAGTTTGGAAGACTGAGAAGGAGAGGAATAAATCGAGCACTGAACTATGTACAGAAAAGAGTCAGGCTTGGCCTACAAAATAATGCACAACATTTTAAACATCTGCTATGATTTATCTCTGCTTATTTATGAATATTATTGTTATTACCATCAATAAAATGTTCATTTTGTGTTCAAGTGTCACGTTACCTTTTCATTTCCCAATAATTTTCACAACATTATTGTTGGATTTATATGCATAGCCAACTGAGGAAATACATCACTGAATTTAGAACTGAAAAGTCTTTTTAAATGTACAAAATTCCAATATAGCGGGGACGCTATGAAAAATACAAAATTGGTGATGTACAGTAATTTATTTTTACACTATAAATAAAGTCAGGAAAAAATTAAAACGATTTTGGGAAAAGTCGTTTTTTTCGTCTGTCTCTGGAAATTTTGAAATTTCCCAAGTGGCATTTTGTTAGTTAAGTAAGTTAAGCGGCTTTGTATCTTTTATAGTTTCCGAGATCACAGTGGTGGGGGTCTAATATGAAACACCCTGTAGTTAGTGTCAATCGAGTATCTTTCCAAACTTAAAAAATTGGATTAAAAAAGCTTCTTTAAGCTCCTCATAGCAGCTGCAGTTCCCTGGTAGTTAGGCTTCTGCCTACGCGGCAGTTCTAGTCAAAAAAATTGCCAAAGGACTGATACCTTGAGTGATTCGGTGAAGGCAAAAAGTTTATAAAACACGTCAATTTCTTTTTTTATGGAATATCGATTTTTCGTAAAAATCAATAACAACCCTTCAGCCGGCATCACACTAATTAACTAGAAAAGTGCATCATTCAAACCCAAAACCGTGAAAACATCAACGAATTTTAGTCCGACGATCCTTTTTTTTGTGAGGGGAAACTTTTATAGGTCAATGTCAAAGGAGAAAGCTCAACGGTCTGGTTGTCCTTTCCTACCTGAAGCGTGAGATCCTCCCAAATGCGGATCACTAAAACCCCTCAGTTGTTCCCTACACATCCCACAACGGTAATGTATGCAGCACATCATCAAGATGGGCTGCGTTAGTTAGTATTCATACCAAAGGTCATTAGGCCTCTTATACTCAACGTCGTAACTAGATATCTGTACGTTAAGTCCATTTTTGTCAAAAATGAGTTTAATATATTAAGCTTGATAATATTGTGTATTTTCATTTGCTACTTGCAGCGTCCATCTATCTGTCGTAATAAAGAAGTTACGACTTTTTAATCGATGTCAAGTTGCATACAATACAATCAAGAAAAATATTTCACATTCAATTATCTCAAAACTACTAATTTGGACTTAACCTAGTCTGGATCTGAGGTACAGACATACATTTGTATGTATACCGAGAGTTCCAAATTCGGCCCTCACCGTCTGCTATACGAAACAAATGACTATCTGATAACTTCAAGGACTACATAGTAACTTCTGTTTTTTTTAATAACTTAGGTTTGGCAATGTCCATGTATGATACGTTATAGATTTTTGAAATAAAATTAAAAATATTAATCTTGTTAGGTACCTAAACACGCACCTGTGCTCCCATTTAAGCGAGTCCGTATCTCTCACCGTTTCCGAGATCCCACTGGTGAGGGTCGAATTTAAAACACCCGGTATATGTTCAAACTAGCAAGTAGAAACCTGTTCCTGGATTCTTGGTATATCGCATACCTTGCTCAGCATCCCACACCTCACTATTCAATTCAACCAATAGTGAAGTACCTAAGGCAATCTAGATGCCACAATAGAACTTTTTTAATTCTAGTTAAACCATCTGAATGATTATTACGATTTTATAGAAAAACGAGTTACCGGATCTAAGCTTATATGAACAATTCTTCCTTAAATCAGCAGAAAAAGTCCTTGACGTCTGGCCTTATTAACATCCTGTATAAATGCTTCGCGCCTAAAATTCAACATAGATTTTATAAATTTTAATTTTCTAGAGATATTAATGATGGTTTCATAAAAACGCAAAATTTACTGTTCCCGAAAATTCTTTGCATATTTTTTACATTTCTGAAGTCATACATCATATCCACACTACTCTGCATTGTAGTACGTAACATCAACTTTGAAGACTCTGTATTTGGTCAGCTACCCGTGAATTACAAAGATCTTTTAATGTGATAAATCGTCGCCTAAAATTGCTGACCCCACAGTTTGGCAGTTTTCCGGTACGTTTAATATAAATTATAGATGACATGGTGCTGTCCATTCAAACATGTTTTGGTCGTAAATTCAGTGATTTAGCAAACTTCTAATCATTTTGGAATATCGTCTATAAATACATTTGTGGAATTAATTACTGTTATCGGTTTGCCTGGTCACAGTTTCATAGAATCCTTAACTTCCGGAAACCATGCGACGTTGCCAGTACCCATAGGATGTGATAATTTTAATTTACTAGTATGCGCCGAGAGCGAAGTGTATAGGAGGGGGCGCGGAATCAGTCGCCGAGATCGCATTAGACAAAAAGAGACACGTCATCGGACTGATTGTGGAACATAGGCGCAGTGCCTATGGTGAAATATCTTTTTTGTTGGATTAACTGTGGCCTTACAGTCGCTGATATGATTTTTCAAATCGAAAAAGAATTGTCAGGTTGAAATTTGACATTGATTTGACCAAACGCCTCTTATTTTCATTAATATCCACAAACACAACGTTATCCGCTAGATGGCGCCAAAACTGTGTTTCGATAAAGTATGAATATTTTATCTTTATCCTTGGAATGTGGAGACAAGCTTCCGTCAGGTGCAAGGAAAATATCATTTGTCTCACATTAGTAATTTGACATGAAATGTATGGTTAAAAAAAGAATGCAACTTTGTAAAAAATCCCACAAAGCTGAACATTTGTACAGACCTTGAACACACCATTGTGATTAATATGTCCTCGTATATCCGATGAGCAGTACCTTGTCCTATTTGGATTGAAATTTCAAAAATATTACGTTTGTATATATGTTTCAAAAAGGGAAAGAGATACGACAAAAATACTGATTTAGTGATCTGTGGATTCTAACGTAATCTTCTCCCCTTGTGAAGCATATACGAGGGATGTTTTGCATATAGAAACAAAGCAGGCCGCGCGGATCGAACGTCAGTACTGAATCTTAACCTGACTCTTTATTAAACTTAAATTCAAAGCTTCACAACAATACGTGCAATGAATTTTTAAGTGTCACCAAGTCATTAGAAAAATGGAACTCAACCAAGAACATTTTCGCGCCATAATTTATTACAACTTTCAGAGACAATTATCGCAATAGAAATGCTTTGCTGAGTTACTGTCTGTTTTCGGCAACGAAGCGCCACATCAGTCGACAATTTCCCATAGGTATGGAGAATTCAAACGTGGACGGGTGAGTCTTGGCGACGATCCCAGGGTGGGTGCACCAAAAACGGCAGTTACCCAGGAAAACATCGATGCTGTGCGCAAACTCATTATTGAAGATAGACATGTGACATATCACGAGATTGAGGCGTCCTTGAAGGTCTCAAAGACCTCAATTCAAAAAATTTTACATGAAGAATTATTAGTAAGAAAATTAGTTTCTCGTTGAATACCCCACCTGTTGACTGAAGAGCAGAAAACAGCCAGGGTTAATTGGTGTCAAAAAACGCTTGACCGTTTCAATTCCGGTAACTCAAAAAATGTGTACAGCATTGTTAGTGGTGATGAATCGTGGATTTACTGTTATGAACCAGAAAATAAAAGACAGTCGGCTGTTTAGGTGTTCCAACGTGAAGAAAATCCAACAAAAGTCATCCGTTCTCGAAGTGTTTCGAAAAAGATGGTCGGGACATTTGTGTCAAAAGCGGGTCATATTGAAACAATTCCTCTTAATGAGCAAAGAACTGTTACTGCGGATTGGTATACCACCATTTGTTTGCCAAAAGTCATCACCGAGCTTCGAAAAATCAACCCCGAAAGAAGAATCATCCTCCATCAAGACAATGCAAGCTCGCACACAGCCCAAAAAACAAGGCAGTATTTAACGAAAGAAAACGTGGAAGTATTGCACCATCCTCCATATAGTCCTCATCTAATTCCTAACGATTTCTTTACTTTCCCGAAAATTAAAAACATACTGCGTGGTCAAAGGTTCCAGTCACCAGAAGAAGCAGTTGACGCATTCAAAAATGCCGTTTTGGATCTGCCAGCAAACGAGTAGAATAAGTGCTTCGAAAATTGGTTCGAGCGCATGCAGATGTGAATTTATCTTAGTGGAGATTACTTCGAAAAACAATAAAATCGTTTAAAATTACCTACCATGTTGTTTTGTTTCCATATGCAAAACTTAAAAGACATCCCTCGTATTATGTGTGAGCCATCGACCATTCGTCGTATGTGGAAGCACTGATGTATGCGACTTATACTAAAATTCTCTATAAAAGTTGCCTGAATAGTTTTTTGTGTATCGTCGTTTTTCGTTTATGCGTTATTTGATTAATGGGATCTAAGGTATGGCTACGGCTCATACGAGGCATTTTTTATGTTATACGTTATCGATCGTTTTATATGACCTGAGAGACCACAAAATAAGGCTTCAGTCCAAGAATATATGAGAAGATTTGATGTATATTCAAGATCTGCACCAATTTTGAGCTTTGTGGGAATTTTTCCAAACCTAGTTTTTATTTTGACTGGAGTATCAGAGGATTTATTATAAATAGCACCCTGTATCTGTTGTATCGTATTTTATCACTACGTTACAAGCAGATCTAGCTTCACAGAAATTAAAGTCACAGCAATACGTCTTCTAATAATACTACACAGCTTTGACATAGAGCTTTTCGTATATGTATAGCTTCCTGTTTCACGCTTCGGGCTGAGACGATTTGAAATTTCTGGCTCGATAGCACTTCTAGAGTGTCAGAAGAATTTTCCTCCTACATTTTGAAGAATATGCACGCGGACTCTTTTAGTCTTTCTTTCAGTACCACAGTCTGCCATTTTGTAGAAGGACGTATCATTCTTTTCAAAAAGGTAATAATCCTCCCTCACGTTATTTTTTGAACGAGTCAAGTTGGCAATTTCACATTCGCGATAACGAAACTGATAGGTTGTTACTAGATTTTACTGTAAAAGTCATAATTGAAAATTCCAAGCGCCATCTTGCAACATTTTTGTAAATGAAATACCACTTTTTGGGGCTCCTTGTGAGTGTATTATAACCTTAGAATATAAATTCACGATCTTTCAAAATGCCGGAGCGCAGACTGTCAGGTTGAGCCATCTAATCATTAAAACGTATGATATATAAATATGCTTCTCTATGAAAGATCTATCTGAATGGAGCGTTATGTTTTAAAATACTGACAGTTTAAGTTGTTTCTTTATAAATACAAAATTCCGTATTTTAATCATAAGGAGCTTGAAAATGAGACGTCATACGACCCCTCATTCTATTTAGGAGTATTCCAAGATGGTGCTTTGCTGCCATCTTGAACTGGCCCTTGTACGTTAATATATAATTTTCATGCATCCATTAAATTATATGAAAACGGGGGTCTTGTGGCACATAATTTCGAAGCTCCTGACGAGTACTTTATGACCCTAGAATATAAAGTCAATACCTTTACCTACTACAAAATGGTGGTGCATTTAAAAATTACCTGAATACATTGACATTTAACTTGATAATTCGAATAAATACGTTGAGTTCAGTTTAGAAGATGCTGGAAATGGTTGCCTGGAACTTGACACAATAACACCCGGTCCGTAATTTCGCGTCGAACATTTTCAAACATAGTAACATCCCAATTTCTACAAATATTTCTTATTCTCAGCCGTGTATCCAATATTGAAGCAGGTTCAGTTTCGTACAACTTTTGCTTCAAATAGCCCCATTCAAAAAAAGTCTAAAGGTGTCAAATCTGGCGAGCTAGCTGGCCATTCCACAGGACTTCGACGGCCAATCCCACGAAATTGTTATCTAAATAACTCCTAACTTGTCTGTAGTAGTGTGGTGGAGCACCATCTTGCTGGAATACAATATCAGTATTAAATTCATTAGGATTCGCTTCGATGATTTCGGTGATTAGAGGGTCAATAGTATTTTCCAGCATATCCAAATACAGTTCCCCGGTTGAAGTTTGTTCGATGAATAGAGGCCCTACAATACGATTCCCCAATATCCCAGTCTATGCACATTACCGTGGAGAAAAAATGTACATTCATCACTAAAACAAATATTTTGGATATAGGTAGGATGCCGTGCAATGGTTTCCATCATAGTCTCGCAGAATTCTGTTCTTCGATCAGGGTCATCTTCAGTTAGCTGATGTACCATTTGAATTTTGTATGTGTGCTATTTCTCTTTCAAAAGTCTCCATACAGTAGAAGGACAAACCTCACATACATTTGCGATGGAGGAAGTAGACTGTTGGGGATTTACTATCATCTCACCAATTATTTGAACTTGCTTTTCTTCCGGGATGGTCGAATGGCCTGGGGGTTTTTTGTTGTTTAGACTACCTGCTGTAAATTTAGATACAAGTTCCCTTAAATATTTTCTACAGATAGGACGATTCGGGAAACGATCATTAAAAATCCTTTCGGTCTCGTGAAAGTTATGCGTCGCACCATAAATAAAAATCGCTTCGATTTTTTCTTCCACTAAAACCAAAAACTAAATACGAATATTTTAACTGTACAATGATGTTTGTTCCCGTACTGATATTCTTGTCACTGTCAACAAAAAATAACAAAACAAGATTTTGTTCAAGTAGTTATTAAATGTACCACCATTTTGTAGTAGGTAAAGGTATTGACTTTATATTCTAGGGTTATAAAGTACTTGTCATGAGCTTTACAATGATGTGCCACAAGACCCGCGTTTTCATATAATTTTCTTTGCAAGATGGCGCCCAGCGGCCATCTGGACATTTTCATCTGTCAATTTTACTCTAAAATATGTTATCCACGCATCAATTTCATTACCTGAAGTTTTAATTTTTTGAAATGATCCGTTCAAAAAATCAAATGGGTGGGGGACACAAAAGCACTGTATATCTCTTTTCTCAAACTTCAGTAAGAGCGCAAACACATTTTACTACCGCAGTAATTCTTGTTTGGTCGGCAACTTCTTAGCTAATTTATTTGAGCTAGATCTTGCATTCTGAAATAGCCAAGAATCAATCAAGAAGCAACGAGTGTCTGTTGAAAAACATTACCAGAGTCAACAGACCTTAAATAAAGCTGGCCGAATATACAGGTGTCCGCAAAGTTGGGGTTTTCCTTTACACGACGTGTAGATCTTGAAAATATAAGCAATTTTTCTTAGTACCATATACACCAATGTCTTAAGGGAATCGAGATAAAGGGCTCTGCAACAGCAAAAATATCTGAATACCGTCCTGTAGCCGCGACATCCCCGGGTGGTACTAGGACACTAGCTCAACTCGACGACAGAACTGGGTCGGGGTCAGTGTGTCAGGTCAGTATACAACCTTCAACCGACATTTACGGTCACGCGTGTAGAGGTAATCCCGCAGACGAGAATCCCTCGACAAGCACTAGAGGCGTGGCTAGAGAAGTGCAAGTATCAAAAACTAAAGTGTGGCAAACGCTGCGTGAAGAGGGGCTGTATCCCTTTCACGTCCAACGTGTACAAGCCCTTCAACCTGACGATTTTCCAGCAAGAGTGCGGTTTTGTGAGTGGTTGTTGCATCAACATGACAATAATCCGGAATTTTTGAAGTGCATATTGGTGACAGACGAATCTACGTTCACGCGTAATGGGGTGAATAACTTTCGCAACACTCATGTTTGGTCAGTAGAAAATCCGCACGCTGTCCGTCGGGCACATTTTCAACAAACATTTTCGGTGAATGTTTGGGCTGGCATGGTGAACGGTATGCTCATTGGACCATTTATTCTCCCAAATCGATTGGACGGGATGCAATATCTAGACTTTTTACGCAACATTTTTCCTTCCTTGTCTGCCTGCGTCTGCTCGGTAGCGCATCAGCTGATTTCATTCATTTTCTGTTGGAGCGGTATGATTTCGGGCAGAGACGTACTTAGCCCTTCTCGTCAACTGGAGAGTGAGTACTTTTTCCTTTATTTTTTTTTACTTGGTCGCCCTCGTTTCACTACACATTACCTTTGTTATTTCAAGGGTAGTTGTTTCTGAAAAGGAAAACCCCAACTTTGCGGACACCCTGTATAAATAACAACATTATAAAATTCAAAAGATAAGTACCACTCTTGCAACTATGTTATATCACATAATACGAAAATATTGCGTAACGAACTGCAAAATGTTATTTTACTTATCCGTGTTACAGAAAGGTTCTCCCCAAAATCATGCATGAGTACTATGCACGTATTTTAGCGTAAAAGTACTGGCTGGAAATTTCAAGATGTCAGTCTTTAGTTTGAACGGAATGTCCCATATTTTATTAGATATTTAGATAGGTACTTCCAAAGGAAGGCAGGGGACATAACAACATCATAGCGTCTTGATGATTAGACTTGTCCAGCCGTCATCTTGAAATTTTCGACTGGTATCTCGAACAAGGAAGCACCTTTGTAGCATCGACGCCCAGGCAACCTTTTATGCAACCAGAATATCGGGAGCATTCGCGGCGCATCGAGAGCGTTCGACATTGACGAGAGTGCGTGCTCCTCGAATGCATCGATTGAAGATAAATATACGCGGAGATGCCAGGTTGAATTTGTGAATTAGGAAGTTTCCTATAGGCGAAAATACTGTCTGTGTTACTTGCATCTGATAATATAACTAGTATCTTTGACAAATCTGAAAGAATTATTCCAATAACTTTAAATTTAAGGAAGTTATGGCATTTTCTGTGTTGGCTGCTGTAGCCGATCGGCCTCGCGCGTCGAGGTTCGGTAGTGACGTCACATGACGGAACGTCGTGAGTCGGTAGTGAAGCGATCGGACTACATGACGGCATGTCGCGTACATCGTTGGCGCTTAAGCTGACAAGACTTAATTTATTGTTTGAATCTTGGCGTAGACTGTTGTATGGTAGTATATAGAAATTAAAATGGAAAAAGGTTTTTTACGTGTCGATTCCACAAATCTTTTGAAGGTAGACATAATAATGGTACTGAATTTCTTCACAAACAATCCACTTTATGTCAGTACGGAAATACGTAAGTAAGTAAATGTATGATTTATTCTATACAACTCTGATAACGTGAACCCATTTTTTCAACCCTTTGCCTGCGACTATACCATAC